CTGGACGGAGCTCACTATGTAGCCCAGGGTAGAGTTGAACTCAGGATTCCCCTGCCTTAGTATCCCAAATGCTGAGGTTGTTATAGGCATGCATAGTCATCCCAGCTTGGTAGTTATCTTTTAAATTGAAGGTGAGGGGACTGGAAATTTTGATGTTGATTTCCAGTTCTCTGCCATTGGTCCACACTAACTATAAGTAACATAGCTTTGCAGAATAATCTAGGAATGTAGCTTATCAACCATGTAGGTAAACAGCTAGCTAAAACTTATTTCAGTGGACAACAGGGAGAACATAGTGAAACAACTTAATCTATTACAAAAGTCTTTATCAAAAACATTGAATATAAATCTTAAAGTATTTCTAAATAAATTCCCCAGTGCAGCCTAGTTGGTGATACTCTGTTGTCATTTTAGTTAGGATATATTCATTAATCCTTGAATGTCAACAAGGCATAATGGCACATACCCTACCACTTGCAGACAGACACATCTCTGTGAGATCGAGGCCAGCCTAGTCTACACAGCGAGTTCCAGGCCAACTTGAGGGCTGCAGAAAGATGCTGTCTCAAAACAACAAAACAAAACCAAAGGTGACAATACTTAATACATTGCTTCTCCAACTTGAGAACACTTGTTTTGGAGGAAGAGAATTATGAAGCCATGTATTAAATGTAACTTCTCTTAGTGGAGGAAGATTTGGAAAAGTATGCATTTTTATATTAAAGTAGACATGTAGAAAAATCTTACTATTGCTTTAAAGGATAATTCTGAACACACAAAGACAATTTCTCCTAGTGTCTTAGGGAAACATTTTGATTAACAAATTATCTGATTTTCGTTTTTGAAGTCTGTATTTATTTAAGCTGGCAATTCTGAACTGTTCTAAAATGGTAGAAATACATTGGCCGGAATAGTAGTATATAAAAAAAGTTTACCCTGTTTCCTTATCATCTATATTTTTATTTTTTGATGAGTATCCCCTATCCAAAATACTTTGAGACCAGAGTGTTTGTGATTTCAGATTTTTAAATATTTTTCATTCGGTGAGGGTTGAAGATGAGACTCAAGTCTAATCATGAAATTCATTTCATAGACATTTTATACACACAGACGGAAGATAAGGGAACACAAAGTCTTCAGTAATTTTACACATGAAACAAAATTCCTTCATAGCGAATTTTCCATTGGTAGTGTCATGTTAGCACTTAAGACTTTTTGAAATTTGTTTCATTGCAGATTTTCAAAATAGGACCATTCAACTCAAGCCACTGTTTTACAGCTAAATATATTTTTTAAGGCTTTTTTTCTTTTCTTCGTAAGGAAACACCCTGTATATTGTTGGTGAGACTTGCAGAATAGGATTGTAAAAATACTAATTTCATTGTTAATGGTTTTTCTTCATTTCACCTATTAAAATTTTCATTTTAAAAGTGATGTTCTATCTTTTCTTCTTCACAGGACAATGAAAAAAGAACTCCCTTACATGCAGCTGCCTATCTTGGAGATGCAGAAATCATTGAACTGCTTATTTTATCTGGTATGGTACTGCTGTGTGATGAGTTCATTTTGCATGCTTTTATCATGATTAATGTTTCTTAAGCCTAACTGCCTGTTTGCTGAATAACTGGTTCTTAATACTGGTTTCATAAGCTGAAACCTATTTATTTACTCACTCTACAAATTCTGATCATATACCCTGTTTTCAGTGGTTAGAGTACCTTAAGAAAAAAAAAGCAAAGATTGCTGCCATTAGAGTTTATGCTCTGCTAAATACAAGTAATTTTATAGTTCATTTTAAAAGAGAGAGACAGACAAACAGGTGCCAGATGTGATGGTGCACACCTGTAATCCCAGCACTCAAAAGGCAGAGGCAGGGTGAGCTCTTGAATTCTAGACCAACCTGGTCTAAATAGAGAGTTCAGGCAAGCTATATAGTGAGACCTGTCTCAAAGAAACAAAATAAAACCCCAAACAGATACCATGGGGGAAAAATAGAAAGGAGATGAATGTTATAAAAGGCATATATATTTTAGTGAACCTTTTGACTATAGAGTTACTAGGAGAAAATTTCATTTCTCTGAAGGGTATTTCTCCAAAGGAGAGAGATCCAGGCCAAGACCAAGTATAGAAGACTTGGTGGTAAGAAGTAGTCTGATCATAAACAAAATTTTAAGGTAATGCCAACAGAATTTCTTTCTTTGAATAGATTTTTTTTTTTTTTTTTTTTTTTTTTAAGGGCTGGGGAGATGGCTCTGTTGGTGGTAAACTGCTTGTTGTACAAGCATGACATTTTAAGTTCATATCCCAGGCACCTATAATCTGGGGAGGTCTCCACATGCATGCACAGCCATACATAAGTACACACGTACAACACAAACAAGTCACGTTTCTCAAATTCTGTTTTGAAGGTCCACAAAAAGAATTTTTATTTTATTTTGTTTTTTTAATTTTGTGTGTAGGAGTGTTTTGCCCCTATGTATGTAAGTGCAGCACCTTAACCTCTGGGCCACCTATCCAGCCCCATTTGTAAAATATTTTTTAAGAATTTATGCTTTATGGACTGGGGATGTAGCTCAATTGGTAGAGTGATTTCCTAGCATGTGTGAAGCCCTTGGTTCAATTTCCAGCACTTCATAAACTGGATATGACAGCACACATTGGTACTGATGAGGTGGATGCAGGAGAATCCAGACTTCATGGCCATTCTTGACTGTATACAAAGTTGGACAGCCTTGGATACATAAAACCCACTTTATTTTTTAACCTCTAAATTATTAAGTCTTTATAATATAAAGTAACACTAGAACTCTTATTGAATAGTCTTAAAGCAGGCAGTCAAACTGAGCTTAAGGATATTTCAGATTATTTTAATAGTGGTTGTTTGTAAAGGATGCAAGTAGCCAAATTGTTCTTGTGTTGATGGTTTGCATATGAAAATTCATAGTAAAAATGGAGTGGTATCATTCCTTTGATGTTTTAGTTAAGCCCAAGAGAGGTGAGAGATCCCAAAATTTTGCCATTATACATTCACAAAAATTTTAAGATTTATTATTTTTAATTATGTGCACATGAGTAGTGCATGTGCTTGTGGAAGCCTGAGATGTTAGATTCCCCTGCAGTTACAAGTAGTTGTGAGTTACCCAGTGTGGGTAAAGGGAACCAAACTCATGTCCTGGAAGAACACTAAGGACTCTAACCGCTGACCCATCCTTCCAGCCCCATATTCATAAAATTTTTTTAAAATCTGGGTTTCATAATAAATTTCATGGTCACATAGAATTAAATATGGTTTGCTGTGGTCCCATCTAATATTATTAGTTTCTCTGATACAGTTCCTTGAGTATATCTGCTCTCTATGGATGTTGTTGCTCACAGCTTTTCAGCTTAAACTAATTAGAATCAAAAACTAAAGAAGTTCAAGGAAAAGAATTCTATTTCTTCTTAACTAAAGCATCTTCTCTTTAATAATGTAAGTTGGTGAGTCACAATTTAACACATGGAATTTTTGTCACAAACATTCTTCAGAAACATTCCCTTTATGTTAAAAATAGTTGTACTAGAGCTAGTTCAATGGGTACTTGTCACACAAGCATGAGGACTTGGGTTACCTGAGTTCAATCCCCTAAACCCATTTAAAGCTGAATATATTAGCATAAATTTGTAATCCCAGCATTCCTACAGTGAGGTGGAAGGCAGAGACAGGAGAGTCCCCAGAAGCCTGTGGAACAGCTAGCCTAGAATATGCAGTCGCAAACAGCGACTGTCTCATTCAAGGTGGAGATGAGCAGCAGTACCCAGGATTTGTCCTTTGACTTCCACATGTACACCACGGCATGTTTGTGCCTATACTCTGACACATGAATACATGTACACACATGTATATGTACATGTACATATACATGTTATACATACAATAAGATAAAAATAAAATAGCTGTGGTAGAAAGTATAGTTCTGTTTATTTTAGTGTCTACGATTTTCAAAAGAATTTTTTTATTTTAACAGAATTCTATTTTCATTTTAATATAAGCATTATTTTATATGATTCAATATTGCTGGATTCCTCTCCATTTAAATTTTATAGTTAGTAGAAACTATAAAATGATGGTTGACTCAGTCCCCTTTTAAAAAAAAAATTTTTTTTATAGGGAGCAAGGATTGGACAACAGGGTCTCCTTGTAGCCCCAACTGGCCTGGGACTTGCTGTATAGACCAGGCTGGCCTTGATCTCACAGAAATCTACCTGCCTCTGCCTCCTGAATACTGTGATTAGAGGTATACATCGCCACACCTGGACTTTTAAATTCTAGTTTATTGATAATTATGTATATGAGTGTTTGCGTGTGTGTGTGTGTGTGTGTGTGTGTGTGTGTACCATGCATGTGCCTGGTGCCTACAGAGACCAAAAGAGGGCATCACATACCCTGAACCTGGAGTTCGAAATGGTTGTGGGCTCCCATGTAGATGACTGGGAGCCAAACCTGAGTCCTCTGCAAGAGCAGCAGTGTTCTTAATTGCTGAGCCATCAACCCAGTCCTCAGTCCTTAGTCCTTCTTTTTAAAAGTAAATATTTGCAATAAAGGGATTTTAGTTACTTTGTCAGTTAACCTCCTGGTATGATAGGGACCCCTGTGAATGGATAGAATCAAATATCAACTTTGAAATAACCGTTTGGGAGAATGTATATAATTAACCATGGTGGATTATAAAATAAAAATCAGTTTCGGCCCATCTTTGAATACTATTAATATTGTACTTTATCAATTTCGTGGTAGTGTATAGATCATGTAGCTTTTTTGCAAAGGAAAAATAAAGTTTTAAATGAATATCACCTCATCAGTTAGGCATTGTTGATCACTGCTGTCCGCTCTAGCACCCAGTTTCCCTCTTGTAACCTTTTTTCCTTGTACATACTGTCATCTAAACATTCTTTGAAAGTCATGCTTGTTTATTATTCTTCCCCCAGTAGACTGCAAACTCCAAGACAGAGCATTGAGATACTGATTACTGGTACCCAGAACACTGCTGAATATGTAATAGAATCTGAATGAATACAGTCCCTGCATATCCACCAGGGACTGGTTCTAGAGTGCATGCACACAGACAGAGATAGGAAAATTTGCAAATACTCAATCCCTCCTATAAAGTGGCATAATATTCATATATAACCTATATGAATCCTCCTGTACACTTGAAATCATCTCTGGATTACAGATGTGGAACCTGCAGATATGGCAGGCTAGCAGCACTTAGTAAATAATGCATAATTAGAACAATGTTAAATTTAGGCTTTTCTTCAGAAATTGGTTCACATTTCTATCTTGGCTTCCACATCTTTACTGGAAGAATGGGAGGAATAGGGCAGAAGTAAACAGGTTCAGGAAGATCCAGTCCAGTAAGTGGGAAGGTAAAGCAGATAATGTATTTCCTGTGACTACAATTGAAGTTCTTCCTTAGTCTTCCTTTTTCTTCAGAGTTGCCTTTGGAGCCTAATTAAGAAAAATTAAAGCTAAATATTTAAATTTAATTTATTACAACTAAATGTTACTCAGTTGTAATAGAATTCAAGGCTAGGTTCATGTTTAACTAGAGTCTCACTTTTCTGTTTTTAAGTGAAAAAGTAAAGGAATTACTTTACTTTTTTGTTTTGCCATGAGAGATAATAGTGTCTAAAAAACACAGGCTCTTTGGCCAGACAGATTTTGATGCAAGTCTTATCCAACTTCATAGCGCCTTTGTGATCTTCCAGAACTTTCCTCAATCTCTGAATGTGCTTAACTTCATCATCTGAAGAATGGGAATTGCAGAATGGATAGACTTTAAAGAAATAATTGAGATAATGTAATTAAGATACCCAGAAAAGGGACTTGGAGAGATTATTCAGTGGTTAAGTAGAATATCTTCATATTTTGGTTTATAGTAGTAACTTTCCTCATTGAAAAGTGGTGTTTTTTCATATTTTTTGATGAATTGTTATAAGATAAAACTTTTTAAAAATTATAGTCCAAAATTAAATTTTATCAGAAATCAGATATTTATACATGATTCATGAAGCTGTAGGATTTTTCTGTTTTTGATATGGTACATAAAATCAAACAGATCTTCACCCTCATAGTGTCTTATAGTTAAGCTGTATTGCCAATAAAAGCTACAGGCAGAATTCAGACCTAGGCATTCTGAATCTGAATCTCTATTCTTCCCTGTTCCTACCATACTTCATCCCCGCTATGGCCTTAGTGAAATTTGTATACACATTTTTATTGTAGAATGTCTATTTGAAGGACTAAATTTTCTGTCTACTTGGGAATAAATATTTTGTTGGAGAGCTATGAATACTTTCATTCAATTCTTTATGTTCAGCAGACTGTTAAATGTTACTCTTTCAGCACTGGGGATGGCATTAATCAAAAATTCATTTCAGGGGCTGGAGAGATGGCTCAGTGGTTAAGAGCACTGACTGCTCTTGAAGAGGGCCCAGGTTCGATTCCCAGCATTCACGAGGCAGCTACAAACTGTTCTTAACTCCAGTTCCAGGGGG